CGTAAGTCACAGTACATGCAAACCTGTATGACCGGAGTGTTGCACAGGAAAAACGATACAAATCTATAATACATTTCTGTTAGGAAACTGTAAAATCTCAAAGTGAAAGAGGAAATAAAATGTCCTTCCTACTGTATTGGCAAAAGTACTGATACAGTACATGACAGTCTCACTGTTACAAACAACATTATTACAAAAGTCCTCATGAAGACGGCATCTCATCTCATCTGTCATGTGTCAGAAATCTAATGCTGCTTCCTTTTATACTATGTGTGCATTTACCCTTTAAGTGCAAACAGAAGCTGCAGGATGGTAGTTTTCAGGACTAAAGCGTCAAATGACAACAAAAACATGTTATAAACAAATTACAATATATTTCAAAATTATGGCTTGTCTGCAAACAGCTCTACTTGACCCTATGAACTATTCTGTTGCTAGAAAACCAATGCATGTGTTTACCGGTCACCTTGATTACTAATACCTTTATCCTGCAGTGGTAAAGTATTATGTTTACTACAAAAGGCAACTGAGGAGGAGTTTACATTCCAACTGGACAAAGGTCAAATGAACCAATATACTTTCCACAGAACCACAGAGTCTGTGACAAAGAGAAGATTAGGTAAATTTCTATGTGAGCAACAGGTTCTGTACATTCTACTGGATCCATAGCGGCTCCTCATGTGTTGACAAAACTGTTGTGAAAGAAAGAAGAATAGATTTAGGACCAGCCTAATGTCTGCACAAAAGCCAACACTGCAGTGTGTCAATAAAGTAAATATAGATCAAAGTGCTGGAAGAGACAACACACCAGTGTGTGAGCAGGAACAGGGAGGGTGCTCAGATCGAATACTGAAGCCTCAGTGTTCAAGTCCATGTTTTTGTGCATGTGTGTAACTGTGTAAGTGCCTTGGGCTACAGGCAGGAGTCCCAGGGAATCTGTAGGTCATAACTGTCCAGGAAGTCTGTGGAAAAAACACCAGGGGGTGACTGGGGGCCCATTGTGGGTGTTTCCTCACCTCTCTCTCCTCCCATGCTGAGGTCCAACCAATCCATACTGTCCAGCCCCTGCTGTGGCTCAGCTGCCCTGTCAAGTGTATCCATGGGTGACGGGGGATGGTCCAGGATGCTGGGGGTGCACAGCATTTGGCTGTGGAGGTCATCGATCAAAGTCAACAGGCCTCCAGGCTCCACCCCCAGGAGAGGCTTCCCAGTAGTGCTCTCCAGGAAGTCCTCCAGACGTCCACTCCCAGTGCTACTAAGGTGCGGTTTCTCTTCTGTGAGAAGCTCGGTCTGCACCAAGAGGGCCGGCTGTGTGGTGTGACAGCTGGCTGGGATGGGGGGAGATGACAACAGGTGGAGCGTGGAGGGAGGAGGGGAAGAGGCGGCAGAGACTGGATAGAGATGGTCCGGGGATGGGTCTGCCACTGCTGCTGGTTTAAGGGCCGTCGACGTTTCTATAGCAAAGACACACACAACCTTCAAATATTGACATTATTTTGAGAACAAACAAACCTGACAGTGTTGTTGCATCATACCTCCTGTCTGCAAAATGATGTCAATAAAATCTGCTTCATGCTCCCTATCCTGAGGACACACAGAGGACAGCAACACATGACCCTTCAAGACTTCACGTTAATCAACATGGAACATATTGTAACTGCATGACATAAGCAACTGATGTGACATGGCATAATGCAGTGTCACACACACACATTTTGACTTATGAACATTCCGTTCATTTTGCAGCGCTTGCTTCATACTTTGTTATCAGGCGATGAGGCTGTCGTCTTAACAGAAGCCGGAGACAGAGGACTGAACAGGACATCCAGGCTCGAGTCGACCTCCTGGAGGAGACGAGAACAAAATCAGCTTCCTTCACTTTTCCAAGCCAGATATGGAAAAAGTTGGACATGTTATGAATTCCTTTAAAATGTGACTGAATGACACAAGTGACCTTGAAGGATTATCACTGTCATCTGAAGATTACTTAGATATTGAGAAGACGGTGATAAGGAGCCCCTCCCTGTGGAAGCAGTCAGACACTGAGCAACTCCCTGCTGTGGCTGGTCTACAGATACCTGAAGCCTCCCATTCTGTGCCTATTTTTAACGTCAGTAAATAATAAGTACTTCTTAATGGGGAACGGTATTCAGAGGCAGAAGCACGAGCTTAACATTCTAGACTGCTACCCCAAAGATCGCTGATAGCAGCAATATGTGCACTCTGCACACACTACTCCACTAAATCCCGACTTTTTTGTGGCGGGTAAGAGCTCTACACCTGCACTCCACCTGAGATACTGTACATCTCAATTAGCCGAGATGTGACGGAGACTCCTCTTCCGCTAACTACATACATCATAGTAATGGAGGATGTCATTAGAGTAATTAGCTCAGGCTAGTGTCAGACACCTTTATCAAAGACTGCTGTCATCGTCTCAAACTGCATACATCATTAATTTGCACGGATATTAGACTCACTGCAGCAGTTTCCTCACACATTTCTGCTTCTGTCTTTATGGAGCGTTAACAGACTGTTCTGCTCTGTGTAGTGCTGCTACTGCACTGTTCTGATGGAAAACAAGAGGATGATGAAAAGAAGTAAATGACGGGGATCCATCTAAAAGGGATGGTATGAACATTAAAAAGGCTGAACATCTGCTGTTCAGTGGCGGCAAAAGGTCCATTCACCAAAATCACTAACACACATTTCCTTAGGTTTTGTGATATAATCTTAATGGGGTTTATGCTGACCCGCAACACAAGAGTAGTAAAATTACTTTTTATTGCACTCAGAGTAACTTTTTAATACAGATAATACATAGATCTCTGTGGACAATGGGGATCAAACGACTGCAGAAATACTCTGAATGATTTACAGTATTAAATCTTTCTGGAGTATAAAAACATTCTAATATTTTACAGTAATATTTCCTCGCAGTACTCTACTGCTGTATAAAACTGTGATGTCTGACCACACACGCCTTGATTCAGATCTCACATTTGTGTTTTGTTCTTTCTGAAAGTCCATACAAATGCTCTCTTGGGACTGGTTGTAGGCTCTAGGCGGCTGGACGGGGTCACGGCCTGGGAGCGTGGCTGGAGCAGATTGTAGTCGCTAGTGGAAGATAAAGAAAAAGAAACTGTTTAATAACTAATATAAAGTACTGATTATATTAAGAGTCTGCCTTTGCAGTCACACCCTACTGTAAATCCTTTACAACTTCTACAGCTGCATCGTCGAGAACATCTTGACCAGCTGCATCACTGTCTGGTATGGCAGCACTACTGCTATGGACCGCAAGCGCCTGCAGAGAGTGGTAAGGCTGTGGAGAAGATCACCAGGACTCCACTGCCCTCTCTGCAGAGCATTTACCACCTCAGGGTGCATAGGAAAGCTGCCTCTATCCTCAAAGATCCCACCCACCCCCAGCATGGACTGTTCACCTTCCTACCCTGTGGCCAGAAGTTCAGAAGTGTGAAATGTAGGACCACTAGACTGAAAAACTCTTTCTTTCCCTCTGCCATCAGACTCCTTAACAGCTGAGGAGTTTATTACCAGGAAATACGTGATGTACTGTTTACATTCTCAGTTTGCACATTGACTGTTGACTGCTGCACATGCTGCTCCCATGCAGCATAATTCTCTGTTATATTCTTATATATTTTTATTATATCTCTTCATTTGCTGCTTAAAGTGCCTTAGATTTTGTGTTACTTATTTATCTACTTTATATTTCATTTGTATTTTGTGGCATTCGTGTGGACGGCAAAGTAAGAACTTCATTGTACAGGGAAACACGTTTCCTAACTGTGCATATGACAAATAAACACTTTGACTTTGACTTGATACTTAGACAATCCATAGAAAAATTAAACGCCCGATCCGTACTACTGGCACAGCTGATAGTAACACTGGGGGCTGTCGAGTCTACAGTTATAGTTAACCTACCATCACACATACAACTTGCCAGAAGCATGCAGACACATTCTGATGTACAAGAAACATTTTGAACATCTGGCTTTATACAACAGAAACAAACAAGTGAAGTGCCGAATGTGTGGTTACCTGCAGCATGATGTGATTGGCTGCTTTTCCCTCTGCTGTGTTGTTTTTTTGGTTCCCAGTGATGTGACTGGTCAGTGCAATCAGGAAGTGGTTACCGTGACTGTCAGTGACCAGGGCTGGGGTGGAGTCTCTCTTAAGGAGATCCAATGGGAAGACGGGAGCCAAGCCCGGCTGCTTGTTGGGGTATGCTTGCAACACCTGACCAAAACCAACAATATAAGAAGCAGAATGTTGATTTTTACAGTCTTCTTCCTACCAGTACCTGGTGACATTTAGTGCTAAGCTGTGGCATCTGTTATTAAAACAACATGCAGTAACATCTATTCTTTTTGTAACACCCTTTGTCCAAGATGTGGTAGAACTGTATTAGTAGCGGGAACAGTTCAGGACCTTCATGAGGAGCTTTTGAAAGTGGCACAGTGAGGAAACCTGTCCTTACCTGTGGTGGCTGCTGCTGCTGCTGCTGCTGCACCTTCTGATTCTGCTGTATTAGCACCTGTTGCTGCTTCAGATGTATCTTGGTCTGTATCTGGATTTGCTGTGGTTGTTTCGTCTGCTGCTGATGCTGTTTAATCTGCTGCTGTAGCAGTGACTTCTGTTGCTTCAGTAGAATCTGCTGCTTCAGCTGCATCTGTTGATGTCCTTGTTGTGACTTCACCAGTTGTTGCTTCTGCTGCTGCTTCTGAGGTTTCTTCTTTCTCTGCTGAGAACGTTTCTGCAGGTTCTGCTGATTCTCCGGGGTCTGACTGTGGTTCTGAATGTTGTGCTGCTGCTGGAGCAGGAGTTCGTGTATGGCCTGTTGCTGAGCCAGCCGCAGAGTGGTCTGCTGGAGACACACATGTTGCTCTTGTTTTCTCTGCTCTGGCTTACTGTGCATCAGAATCTGCTCCTGCACCTCATGGGCTCGGTTTGAAAACTGTGGAAATCCATGAAAGTCGGGTGATTGCACAGTTGTCTCAGACACAGCCTCCTCTGCTTCAATGGCCTCCTGTTTGATATTAACCTTGGTAACATCCATCCCACATGGAACAGATGATGGTAGAGGGGAGTTGGGTTTATCAGGAGGTTCCTGTTTCACTCTTACAAGAACTACTGGATCTGGAACTCGTCCTCCTTTCTTTCCATGCTCCAGCTGCATCCTCAGCACCTCCACCAGCCTCTGTTTCTGTCTCAGCATCCTGGTCAGCTCCTGTATCTGCTTATCTTTCTCCTGCAGCATCTTGTCTTTATCAACAGTCACTAGTGGAGTTGTGGTTCTAGTGGTGTGGGCAGCTGATGTGACTGGGTACTGTTTCTGCAGAGAGGATGGAGTGAAAGAGAACTGACACGGTGCTGGGGTGGAGCATGGAGACTCCTCTTTAATGTTCAGTGGAAGCTGAGCAGCTGAGCCTGACTGAAGGCCCAGCTGGGTGGGAGGTGAGCTTACCTATACAGAGAGAACAATCACAGGAAACAGGAAAGGAAATTAACATAAGTGTTTAAGAGCCTAAGACAACTGAAATCACATTATACTGTATCTCACACTAAGAATCCACAGCCGGGCTACAGCAGTAGGCTAACATCTGCATGCTAACACGTTCACTGTATCAGTACTAACATGTTGATGAGGTGCACGATGCAGATCATAGTTTAGCATGTTAGTTTACCAGCATTAAACAAAGTATAGCCAATAAACCTCTGGGGTTATAAAAGATGAATTCAACATACATACCATTTCCCCCAACAGGTCGCTGTTGAAGCTGTTGTCTTCTGGGCTCATAGCGGGTGGTGAGTGGTCAGACGGGGTGAGGGAAGCAGGTGGCGATGAGGCTGTGCCAACACAGGTCGTGAGCTGCTCAGGAGTGGCTGTAGGTGGGGGGGCACTGCTACATGCATCACCTGTACAGAGGTCAAGAAGAATGGTTTAAGAGTAGGCAGACAACACAAATATTGTCTATATTGTTTTGGATGTTTTAAGATTTATTAATGGCAAATCAGCTGAACGGGTACATTCATCACTGGTCATTCATACTTAAAGTAGGGCTCTTGGGCCTGTTGACTGGAAGTTAGTGGGAATCACCACCAACTTTAAATTGCCTGACTGACCTGTCAGAGAAGACGTCTGCTGGCACTGATGCTGTTGTTTTGATGTGGTGGCTGCAGCAGTTCTGAAAGGTTTTCCTGCCCCTTCGGTCCCTGGCCCTGTGGGACCCCCGGCTAGTGGAGAGGAGGTAGTGTCACTGCCTCCATTCAGCTCCTGGTATGTCCTCAGCCTCTCAATGAGGTCGTTTTTGGTGCCGGAGACCGGCAAGTTACGCAGCTTCAACTCAGACTTTAGCTCTGCGACCTGACAGAAGATGGAGTAAATGGGAAATTGCAATTGAGAGACAAGAGTGAGGAGATGAGGATAAACATGAGAGAAAAATTGAAAAGGATCAAAGGAAAAAGAGAAGAGAAGCCAAGAAGGCAGAGCAATCCATCACAGTCTTTCACATTATCAGCTCATAGCTGGCAGGCCACTTTGCAGTGACAAGATGTCATTACCAAAGGATCTTTAACATACATCAGATTCAATCCACCAGTTACTCCATCAGCTCAACAGGTCGAAGACGCCAGAGATGGCTACTGGTTCACGCTGTATTGATTGTAGGCTGTGTATTACAGTGAGGGTGCAGTACGACAAACATAAATGCTGCTCATGAGAATGAGACATTAAAGTAATAATGAACTAACCTTCATTTCATCCAGGTTTGGAGGTAGAGACACTGGTTTGGTGCCACCTAAAGGAGCGGAACCCTGACGGCTGTGGCAGCTCTGGTTAGAAGGGGCAGTGACTGGTTGAGGTGGGGAGGTGGTGGTCATGGAAGTGGAGGTGGAGGAGGAAGATGGTTGCTGATCTGTCTGAGTTCTGCTGAGGGAACAAGAGGCAAATGACAGTGATCTCTACAGTCAAACACAACTAAACCCAAACACAGGAGCACCGAGTGCCACCTTCAACTCTGAGTTGTCAAATAAACTGCTCCCTCATGTTCCCTTGAGATTAAGACCATATTTAAAAGAACAGTAAGAAGTGTCTATTTTTCTGGTTGCCTCATGTTCAGGCTACATGCTGCCAGATCAAGTCCCCACTTACTTGGGTGGTGCAGGCAGGATGGTGTGGTAGTTGTAGTGCTGCTGTTGCTGACTGAGGATCTGGAGCTGAAGGAAGAGCTGCTGCTGCTGGAGGATTTTGGCATAAGAAGAGTCCAGATGGGGAGGAGGCTCTTTATCTCCCTTCTGGTCAGGAGGGATGTACTGGTGATACTTCAACTTCTTGATCTAGAAAGCAACACATTCAAATAATACGAATCATTTTTCTGATGTAGATTAAGTACATGTGTGGGTTCATTGAAATTGTATGTTAGTATTTACTACTGGACATTTTTAGCAACAATATTAGCAGTAAACAAAAATCTACCTTTGGCTTGTTGTCCTTGAGTTTCTTATGTCTCTGGGAA